AGATAGATAATAGATAATAGATAGATAATAGATAATAGATAATAGATAGATAGATAATAGATAGATAGATAGATAATAGATAGATAATAGATAGATGGATATACGGGCAGCACAGCGGCAAAATGGTTAGCACTTCCCTCTGACAGTACTCGGGTCGTTGGTTCAAATCCCAGCCACGACACCACCTGCCTGTAGTTTCCATGTTCTCCCTGTGCCTGCGTGGGTTTCCTCCGGGTACTCCGGTTTCCTCCCACACTCCAAAGACATGCTGGTAGGTAATTGGCTCCTGTCTAAATTGGCCCTAATATGTGTATGTATGAATGTGAGTTAGGGACCTAAGATTGTAGGCTCCTCGGGGGCGGGGACTGATGTGAAGGTACAATATATATGTAAAGTGCTGCGTAAACTGACGGCGCTATATAAGTATCTGAGATAATATAGATAGACGGAGGGAGGGAGGGAGGAGGGAGTGGGTGGGTGTGGGTGGGTGGAGATAAAGCTAGATAACAAAGCCCCGGTGGCCTAATGGATCAGGCACTGGCCTCCTCAGCCAGGGATTGTGGGTTCGAGTCCCACCTGGGGGGATATCTTGCTTGTCTCTTATACCAGGATGAGGGGAGGTTGAAGAATAGAACCATCTGGGGGGGGAGGGGGGATCCACCTCTCTGTGCTCCATGTGTCAGTCCTAGAAGGTCCCTTTCCTGCAATCGCCCGCTGGGGCAGACTCCATGGACCACTTGGTCTTCTCCTGCCGTCACTCTTCTATGTTTCATCCCCAAGAAAGGCCCCTCCCCCTCCCGACCTGAGGTGGATGCTGCAGCTGTCCCCCCGCCGACTCTAGGACTGAGAGCTGAGTGATCAAAGCCCGCCGATCGCTCAGTTCTCAATACTCCGGGAGCAGAGAGATGGTGACTGTCAGTACGGCTTCATCAGTGCCCACCAATTATTTGCAAAATTTTACATCGGAAACGAAGAAAACTTTTTTTTTTTTAATTTGTCTTTTTTTTTTGTTTAGCAGGGGCGGGGCTGGAGACAGGCAGGGAGGGGAGGAGGAGATAAACAGCGCAATGGTAAAAACATGAATAGTATACGGCGCCACAAATCTCCCGACGTTCCTAAAGGCACCTCTGCCTCCGAAAAACATCCAAACTTCACATTGTTATCAGGACAAATACAGTGCAGGAAATGTGTATTTGCTCCCCGGCTGATGGTGAATGTTCGCCTCTCACACAGAAATGATCGGTCTAACAATGGAATGTTCGCCCCTCACACAGAAATGATCGGTCTAACAATGGAATGTTCGCCCCTCACACAGAAATGATCGGTCTAACAATGGAATGTTCGGTGTAACACTGAGAGACAGAATACAACAACAAATTCAGCAGAAATGCGTCTAACAAATGATGACGGATCTGCATGTTCATGAGGGGAAAGAAGGATTGGATCACAAAACATGACTTAGTACTTGGTGGTACATATACAAGTCACCCCTCATTGACCCTATGTCACCCCTCATCGCCCCTATGTCACCCCTCATCCCCCCTATGTCACCCCTCATCGCCCCTATGTCACCTCTCATCGCCCCTATGTCACCACTCATCGCCCCTATGTCACCTCTCATCATCGCCCCTATGTCACCACTCATCGCCCCATGTCACCACTCATCGCCCCTATATCACCCCTCATCGCCCCTATGTCACCCCTCATCGCCCCTATGTCACCACTCATCGCCCCCTATGTCACCTCTCATCGCCCCTATGTCACCACTCATCGCCCCTATGTCACCCCTCATCGCCCCTATGTCACCCCTCATCGCCCCTATGTCACCTCATCATGTCACCCCCTATGTCGCCCCTCATCGCCCCTATCGCGGTGTCACCACTCATCGCCCCTATGTCACCCCTCATCGCCCCTATGTCACCTCTCATCGCCCCTATGTGTCACCTCTCATCGCCCCTATGTAACCCCTCATCGCCCCTATGTCACCTCTCATCGCCCCTATGTAACCCCTCATCGCCCCTATGTCACCTCTCATGACCCCTATGTCACCTCTCATCGCCCCTATGTCACCTCTCATCGCCCGTATGGTCACACCACATCGCCCCAATGTCACCTCTCATCGCCCCTATGTCACCACTCATCGCCCCTATGTCACCCCTCATCGCCCCTATGTCACCACTCATCGCCCCTATGTCACCCCTCATCGCCCCTATGTCACCACTCATCGCCCCTATGTCACCCCTCATCGCCCCTATGTCACCCTCATCGCCCCTATGTCACCACTCATCGCCCCTATGTCACCACTCTCATCGCCCCTATGTCACCCCTCATCGCCCCTATGTCACCTCTCATCCCCCCTATGTCACCTCTCCATCGCCCCTATTTTCACTTCTCATCGCCCCTATGTCACCTCTCATCGCCCCCTATGTCACCTCTCATCGCCCCTATGTCACCTCTCATCGCCCGTTATGTCACACCATCGCCCCAATGTCACCTCTCATCGCCCCTATGTCACCACTCATCGCCCCTATGTCACCCCTCATCGCCCCTATGTCACCCCTCATCGCCCCTATGTCACCACTCATCGCCCCTATGTCACCCCTCATCGCCCCTATGTCACCACTCATCGCCCCTATGTCACCCCTCATCGCCCCTATGTCACCCCTCATCGCCCCTATGTCACCTCTCATCGCCCCTATGTCACCACTCATCATCGCCCTATGTCACCCCTCATGCCCCTATGTCACCTCTCATCCCCCCTATGTCACCTCATCGCCCTATTTCACACTCATCGCCCCTATGTCACCTCTCATCCCCCCTATGTCACCTCTCATCGCCCCTATGTCACCCTCTCATCGCCCCTATGTCACCTCTCATCGCCCCTATGTAAAACACCTCATCGCCCTATGTCACCTCTCACCCCCTATGTCACCTCTCATCGCCCCCTATGTCACCCCTCATCGCCCCTATGTCACCTCTCATCGCCCTATGTCACCCCTCATCGCCCCTATGTCACCATCTCATCACCCCTCATCGCCCCTATGTCACCTCTCATCGCCCCTATGTCACCTCTCATCGCCCCTATGTCACTCTCATCGCCCCCTATATCGCCCCTATGTAACCCCTCATCACCCCTATGTCACCTCTCATCGCCCCTATGTCACCCACCTCTCATCGCCCCTATGTCACCTCTCATCGCCCCTATGTCACCTCTCATCGCCCCAATGTCATGTCACCTTCATCGCCCCTATGTCACCTCTCATCGCCCCTATGTCACCCCTCATCGCCCCTATGTCACCTCTCATCCCCCTATGTCACCTCTCATCGCCCCTATGTCACCTCTCATCGCCCCTATGTCACCTCTCATCGCCCCTATGTCACCTCTCATCGCCCCTATGTCACCTCTCATCCACCTCTCATCGCCCCTATGTAACCTCTCATCGCCCCTATGTCACCTCTCATCGCCCCTATGTAACCTCTCATCGCCCCTATGTCACCTCTCATCGCCCCTATGTCACCTCTCATCGCCCCTATGTCACCTCTCATCGCCCTATGTCACACCACTCATCGCCCCTATGTCACCTCTCATCGCCCCTATGTCACCTCTCATCGCCCCTATGTCACCTCTCATCGCCCCTATGTCACCCTCATCATCATCCCCTATGTCACCTCTCATCGCCCCTATGTCACCTCTCATCGCCCCTATGTCACCTCTCATCGCCCCTATGTCACCTCTCATCGCCCCTATGTCACCTCTCATCATCCCCTATGTCACCTCTCATCGCCCCTATGTCACCTCTCATCACCCCCTATGTCACCTCTCATCCCCTATGTCACCTCTCATCGACCCCTATGTCACCTCTCATCGCCCCTATGTCACCTCTCATCGCCCCTATGTCACCTCTCATCGCCCCTATGTCACCTCTCATCACCCCTATGTCACCTCTCATCATCCCCTATGTCACCTCATCATCCCCCTATGTCACCTCTCATCGCCCCTATGTCACCTCTCATCACCCCTATGTCACCTCTCATCGCCCCTATGTCACCTCTCATCGCCCCTATGTCACCTCTCATCGCCCCTATGTCACCTCTCATCCCCCTATGTCACCTCTCATCGCCCCTATGTCACCTCTCACCCCCTATGTCACCTCTCATCGCCCCTATGTCACCTCTCATCGCCCTATGTCACCTCTCATCGCCCCTATGTCACCTCTCATCGCCCCTATGTCACCTCTCATCGCCCCTATGTCACCTCTCATCGCCCCTATGTCACCTCTCATCGCCCCTATGTCACCTCTCATCGCCCCTATGTCACCTCTCATCGCCCCAATGTCACCTCTCATCACCCCTATGTCACCTCTCATCGCCCCTATGTCTGATCTCTCATCTCGCCCTATGTCACTTCTCATCACCCCTGTCATCTCTCAGCACCCCTATGTCACCTATGTCACCCCTATGTCATTGCATCCCCCTATGTCACCGTATTGCCTATGATCGGGATACTGGTATGGGGTATGGTGGTTATCAGGATGCTGGTATGGGGTATGGCGGTGATCAGGACGCTGGTATGGGGTCATGGCGGTGATCAGGACGCTGGTATGGGGTATGGAGGTGATCAGGATGCTGGTATGGGGTATGGAGGTGATCAGGACGCTGGTATGGGGTATGGAGGTGATCAGGACGCTGGTATGGGGTATGGAGGTGATCAGGACGCTGGTATGGGGTATGGTGGTGATCAGGACGCTGGTATGGGGTATGGTGGTGATCAGGACGCTGGTATGGGGTATGGAGGTGATCAGGACGCTGGTATGGGGTATGGAGGTGATCAGGACGCTGGTATGGGGTATGGAGGGTGATCAGGACGCTGGTATGGGGTATGGAGTGATCAGGATGCTGGTATGGGGTATGGCGGTGATCAGGACGCTGGTATGGGGTATGGAGGTGATCAGGACGCTGGTATGGGGTATGGAGGTGATCAGGATGCTGGTATGGGGTATGGCGGTGATCAGGACGCTGGTATGGGGTATGGTGGGTGATCAGGACGCTGGTATGGGGTATGGCGGTGATCAGGACGCTGGTATGGGGTATGGTGGTGATCAGGACGCTATGGGGTATCAGGGCTGGTATGGGGTATGGAGGTGATCAGGACGCTGGTATGGGGTATGGGGTGATCAGGACGCTGGTATGGGGTATGGGGTGATCAGGACGCAGGTATGGGGTATGGAGGGATCAGGACGCTGGTATGGGGTATGGAGGTGATCAGGACGCTGGTATGGGGTATGGAGGTGATCAGGACGCTGGTATGGGGTATGGAGGTGATCAGGACGCTGGTATGGGGTATGGAGGTGATCAGGACCCTGGTATGGGGTATGGGGTGATCAGGACGCTGGTATGGGGTATGGAGGTGATCAGGACGCTGGTATGGGGTATGGAGGGTGATCAGGTGGGATCGCTGGATGTCACTATGGGTATGGGGTGATCAGGACGCTGGTATGGGGTATGTGCTAGGTGACCCCCGCTAGTATGGGGTTGGGGTGATCAGGACGCTGGTATGGGGTATGGGGGTGATCAGGATGCTGGTATGGGGTATGGAGGTGATCAGGATCTGGGTATGGGGTATGGAACCCCTGTCAGGATGATGGTACACAGGGGTAATGGTGGTGATCAGGTATATACTGGCTGTGTATGGAGGTGATCAGGAGCTGGTATGGGGTATGGAGGGTGATCAATGTGGTATGGGGTATGGTATATCACAGAGCTGGTATGGGGTCACCCCCTATAGTAGACGGTTGGGGTACACAGGGTGTAATGTGGGGGGGATCTCTGTATATACACAGCTATGTACTGTCCCCCCTCCATTTGTAGACTCCCAGGGTTGTCAGGGGGGGATCTCTGTGTAAATACACAACTCTGTAAATCTCACCCCCTGTAGCAGGTTGGGGTACACAGCTGCAAATGTGGGGGGATCACGTATATACACAGGCGTGTGTCACCCCTACATAGACGCTGTACCGAGTGTGATTGGCTGTCAGCTGTGACGGGGGATCTCTGTATATACACGCTCTGTACTGTCACCCCCTATAGTAGACGGTTGGGGTACACAGGGAGTAATGTGGGGGGATCTCTGTATATACACAGCTCTGTACTGTCACCCCCTATAGTAGACGGTTGGGGTACACAGGGAGTAATGTGGGGGGATCTCTGTATATACACAGCGCTGTCCCCCCCCCCCCCATAGTAGTGATCTGGTTGGGGTATTCACCCCAGGGGGAGTAAAATCACTGGGGGGGGAGGGGGTATATACAGCAGCAGCCAAGGAATTCAAATTTAACCCCTATTAGCGGCCCGGCCAATGGCCGTTTGGCGGCTTCAAATGCGCTCCTGTATTCCGGGTGCACACCATTTGGCGTGTCTCCCGCACATGCGCAGTTTGCGGCACAGCAGCGGGATCTGCCACGGGCCGTGTACCTCGGACACGGCCGATGACAGATCCGAGTACCGGCTCCCGTAGCTGGTACCATGTGACCTGCTGTGACCAATCACAGCAGGTCACATGATAGTTGTATACAATGGATCATTCATTCATGCCATCCATTGTATACTACTGCCTAGCTGTGAATGGTCACAGCGATCACATGCACATGTCATGTGATTAGCTGTTACCAAATCACAGCTAAGCACAAAAAAAAAAAAAAAAAAAAAAAAAAAAAAAAAACTGAATGAATCGAAGCTAAATGCTTGCTTATAGCAAAGTAATTCTTTGCTATAAGCAAACTGTGTATATAAAAAAAAAAAAAAAAAAAAATACTGATCACTCCCCCAAAGTAGTACAATGTTACTATGGTAACATTGTACTACTTTGGTCATAGTAAAATATATATAAAAAAAAAATCTTTAAAAAAATGTAATAAAAAATTAAATATAATAAAAAAAAAAAAAATATATATATATATTTTTTTTTTTTCATACTGTCACCAGTCAGTGTCCCTGATCACTGCCATGCCAGTTATATGAAGACGCTGTACTGCACTGGTGACATTATGTAAAAAAAAAAAATAGTGAAAATAATTTTTTTAATTTTTTCCGAAAATTTATGACAAAAAAATACAACTTCAAAAAACTTGTCATGCCTCTTATGAAGTACGTCGGACTGTCTACTCTGCAAAAAGGGGGGTCATTTGGGGGATATCTGTCCTGTTCTGACATTTGGGGGATATCTGTACTGTCCTGACATTTGGGGGATATCTGTACTGTCCTGACATTTGGGGATATCTGTACTGTCCTGACATTTGGGGGATATCTGTACCCCCTGACATTTGGGGGATCTGTACTGTCCTGACATTTGGGGGATATCTGTACTGTCCTGACATTTGGGGGATATCTGTACATTCTGACATTTGGGGGATATCTGTACCGTCCTGACATTTGGGGGATATCTGTACTGTCCTGACATTTGGGGGATATCTGTACCGTCCTTACATTTGGGGGATATCTGTACCGTCCTGACATTTGGGGGATATCTGTACTGTCCTGACATTTGGGGGATATCTGTACCGTCCTGACATGCACATTTGGGGGATATCTGTACTGTCCTGACATTTGGGGGATATCTGTACCGTCCTGACATTTGGGGGATATCTGTTACCGTCCTGACATTTGGGGATATCTGTACCGTCCTGACATTTGGGGGATACACCTTCCTGACATTTGGGGGTATCTGTACCGTCCTGACATTTGGGGGATATCTGTACTATTCTGACATTCTTGGACCTCAAGAAATGAGATTGGCTGTCAGTACTTCAGGATTGATCAATATTCAGATCTATACCATAGTTTGTGAACTCTATAACTTTCCTACAGATAAATAATACATCCTAATTTGGGTTATTTTCCCCAAAGACATGTAGCAGAGATACATCTCGGCCTAAATTTATGAATGAACAATTATTTATTTGTAAACTTTTATAACAGAAACAAAGAAAAATGTGTTTTTTTTTCAAAATTTTTGGTCTTTTTTTGTTAATTTAGCAAAAAATAAAAACCCCAGCGGTGATTAAATACCACCAAAAGGAAGCTCTAGTTGTGTGAAGAAAATGATAAAATTTTAGTTTGGGTACAATGTTGTATGACCGCGCAATTGTCATTCAAAGTGTGAGAGCGCCTAAACCTGAAAAATGGCCTGGGCAGGAAGGGGGAAAATTGCCATATAAAATTGTATTGAAACGGTTAAAAAAAAAAAAAATGTCAGTTATTTTCTCAGCAACAGCCAAGGAATTCAAATTTAAAAAAAAAAAAAAAAAAAAAAAAAAAAATGGCCGCCAACAGATTTGAAATTAGCCTCATTTGCATATTCTGGTTGTCATGGCAACAGAGCACAGGCTTGGTCATTTAACCTCCTGCTCAGTGTGACATCACAGGTCACATGCTCACTTTGAAAGTAGCCTCATTTGCATATTTCCGGTAGTCATGGCAACAGAGCACAGTGACATCACAGGTCACATGCTCAGTGTGACATCACACGGTGAGGGAGCCTCAGATTGTG